AAAAAAAAAAAAAAAAAAAAACGTTTCTGAATCATCTTCCTACTTTTTATCTTTTTTCTGGTGTTTGTTTGAGTAAATTAATAGAAAAAAATAGCAACAACAAAAGCTGTCATAAAAGTTTTTTCAATAGACAGATTGTTTGCTTTTTTTTTTTTTCTTGTTGATGTTGAAACAATACTGAATTATTCAGTATATTATTCAAGTTGCTAAAGTCTATTTTTTTTTTTCTTTGACGACATATCTTCAAAAGTATATTTGTTCAAAATAAAACTGGTAAGCTGCAGTAATATGGTTAAAATAAAAAAAAAAAAAGAAAAAACAAACAAATAATTGTTTTTTCTTATTAATTTCTTACTTAATTTTTTGTTTTTTATTCAACAACTGTTTTTCATTTTCATATTCATATAACACCGGTGAAGCATAATCATCTGTCAACCAACGTCGTTTTGACATCTCATCGCTGTACGGCTGTGAATCACGCATCCAGGAACCAATTGAACTGTACTGTGATTCGGCATGTAACACCGGTATACCAACAGCGGCAAGCGTACATTCTGAAGTGCTGCTATCAGAAGTTGGCCAAAAAGAAAAAAACTTCTACATTTGAACATTGCCATATTCGTAGATTATCTGTTGATCTATTATTACTGCTAATGACAACAGCTGTATAAGCAAAAATTGCTTACAATATTACCAATTTACTGTATTCAAAGAAAAATAACAGTTCTCATGGTACTTCTGCTTGTTTCTTTGAAACACTTTTGTGCCTTATTTTTTTTTTATCATTTAATACTTGTAATAATAAAAGTGTTAATCAAAATCAACAGCAATATAAACTGATTATCTGTATCCAATACCAAACTCTAACCTTTTCGATTATATCCCAACGTAGGCGGTCCTGAATAGGGTTCAGTAATTGTCGTTAACTGTACATCAGCTCGTAAAGTTTGTTGACCTCTTGTCGGTTTAATAGTTTTTGGTGTAAACTCATCAAATTGGCTTACTAAATTAGTCTGCTGCTATTAAGTTTAAAATTTTAAACAAAAAAAAAAAAAAGCTTCTCTTAGCAAATATTATCGTTAATATTAAGATTCAAATAAAAGAATTTGCTGATCATTAGCTGGCAGATAAGTTGTTAATCGACTGAAAACTGGAAAAATTTTTATGACTTTAATTGACACAACCTTTTTTTTTTTTTATTAATACAATACAGTACAGTTGATGGAATTGATCAGATTTCTAGTACACCAATAACTTTCAAAAAAAATTCAAATTTATGTTTCCAAGTACATAATGTTTGTAAAAGTTAGCCAAAAACCAAAAAATGAAAAACCAGAATAATTAGCTGAAAAAAATGGACAGTTACAAGCATAGAGTAGAAAAAAAAAAAGTGTTGTTTGATAAGTAGAGATTGGTTTTTTTGATTTTAACTGCTATAAAACTGGTTCAATTAAGTGGAAATTTTTTTTTTTATTCAAAACTAAAAAGAAAATCTACTTAGGTGCTTTAGAATGTTAAGTAAACAGTTTCAAAGTAAAAACTTATTAAAAAGAAAAAAAAAAACTTTTTTTTATAGTCAATTTTTCATTGACTCAAAATTTTAGACTACAATTAAAGTATTAAATGAAACTGTTACGCATAAAGGCATTGCCTTCTCCATTCCATCGTATCAAATTAACAACACTCATCTATCCACTTTAATTAATCGACCTAGTAAAAATCCAGTTTCAACCACAATTTTGGTATACAAACTCAGATTTAATTTTAAGATTCTTTAATGGTAAAT